GATCTGGAGTTGGGGACAGTCTCTGGCGAGTCTAGCTGTACTACAAAGAACAACTCTTCATGGTATTGTTCCATATATTCCATAAGGGCAACTTTTCTTTCTCTGTAGTCCTCATTACAAGATTTATGCACGTAAATATGAATACTTACTCATATATAAAGAGTTGAATCAAAAGTTGTTATACTCTTAGATAAATGATAAATGGCCATAAACCTAAACATATACCACATGTATGTTTGTGTGTATATACAAGCATATAAAATCTACATACATCTGAATATACATATGCTAATATACACACAAACACAACTAAACTAAACACTCACATACACAGACACACATAGCTAACCCTCTACTTCACACCACTGTATAGCTACAATAATATAAAAATGACAACTTTGTCACGAGAATTCCTTATCAGCTTTTGTTTCTTTAACTCTGGCTACTACTCTTACACATTATGACCATTCATAACAAAACATTTCCTTTTCATGAATGGTGAAAAAAGGGTATTTATAACATAGCTGTGCAAATTCTTATGTTTATGTACTTGCAGTGAAGAGACTATACAACAAAATATTTCTGATACGCTAGCATGTGTGTGCGCATGTCGCAATGACTGTGTAAGTATGAGTATAAATGTAAGTGTGAGTATGAGTGTATTAGAGTGAATGTGTGTAATAGTGTGTGTGTGTGTGTGTGTGTGTGTGTGTGTGTGTGTGTGTGTGTGTGTGTGTGTGTGTGTGTGTGTGTGTGTGAGACTGAGTGGGTGGGAGAGTGACTGAGTGGGTGGGTGAGTGACTGAGTGGGTGGGTGAGTGACTGAGTGGGTGGGTGAGTGACTGAGTGGGTGGGTGAGTGACTGAGTGGGTGGGTGAGTGACTGAGTGGGTGGGTGAGTGACTGAGTGGGTGGGTGAGTGACTGAGTGGGTGGGTGAGTGACTGAGTGGGTGGGTGAGTGACTGAGTGGGTGGGTGAGTGACTGAGTGGGTGGGTGAGTGACTGAGTGGGTGGGTGAGTGACTGAGTGGGTGGGTGAGTGACTGAGTGGGTGGGTGAGTGACTGAGTGGGTGGGTGAGTGACTGAGTGGGTGGGTGAGTGACTGAGTGGGTGGGTGAGTGACTAAGTGGGTGGGTGAGTGACTGAGTGGGTGGGTGAGTGACTGAGTGGGTGGGTGAGTGACTGAGTGGGTGGGTGAGTGACTGAGTGGGTGGGTGAGTGACTGAGTGGGTGGGTGAGTGACTGAGTGGGTGGGTGAGTGACTGAGTGGGTGGGTGAGTGACTGAGTAAGTTTGGAAGCAAGTACATAAGTCCGTTCTGAGTGAGTGAGTGAGTGAGTTTGGAAGCAAGTACATTAAATACGTACATACATACAGTAAGTAAGTATGGGACTGAGTATACATGAATTAGTGAGTGAAATGTGCCCATGCATGTGACAATGTGCTGGTGGTGGTGGGGGGGCGGGGGTATATGAGCCTCTGTATGTATGAGTGTAAAGATATGTGTTATGTATATCACTTTATGGATATGGATGCATATGCTTCATTCTGTAAAAGTATCTTTTGTCTTATTCTACAGTTTCTCCCTCTCAGGAAAAAAATAATATAAATAAATTAGTTACAAAAACTAAATAACTCATAGGAAATCATCATCTAAAAAACTTTAGTCCTCCCTGTCACTTTTCGTTCTTGAAATTTACCAAAAAAAAAAAAAAACATATTTTCCCTTCTCTCTCTCTCTCAAAAGTCTACACAATATGGATCCCAAAGTCACACTATAATGACTTAACAATATATACATCTTCATTTGCAGTCAACACCATGAAACCAATAAAAAAACAAATCTTCAGGTTGATAGGCCTTACTGCAATGACTTAATGACAATTTATAACTTAATTTATAACTTGACATTGACACTCCGAGTGCAGGACGTGACAAGAAAAAAAAAAAGTCAAACAAAGGACCATTTTTCCTTTGGGGGCAAAACGGCATTCTCAAATCGCTACATCTGAGAAAAAATGAGTAATAACGAACTAATTAATCACATGACACCACAACATGACACAAGGGACTCAGGTGACACCACACCCAACACAAGGGGGGTTTTGGTCTCTCCTGCAACACTCGATGGGCTGAAATAACGTGATTTCGGGGTCTTTCCACGTGTTTTTCTCCCCTTAACGGCACGTCAGATGAACACACACTGGGGGAGGAGGTCGGACGTTGTCAGAACTGTCATTGTTGTCAATTGTTGTCAATCGCGATCCAACACAACGCCAAGTTCAGGCAAGGGGGAGAGAAGGTTTTCGCAGGCCCTCCTCTCCCGCCTCAGGAGCCCGTTTCCTCCACGTTTCACGGCCATTCGGGAAAAACACAGGTGGAGGAACAATACCTTGACTCTGTGGCGAAGCTGGGCCTCCATATCCAGGCTGTCCGAGGACGCTTTGGCCGCCTCCTCCGATGAGCGGCGTTCGCTCCTCGGCCATCGTGGGGGTCATATGA